ATCAAATGTTACAGACAGTCTGGGTTTTTAGGGTGCATTAATTTCGCCTAGTTGCTTGTCTGCCTTGCATCGACACAAGCTACAGATAGGATGGTAGATGATCTGTGTAAAATAAACCTTCCATTATTCATCTTGGCTTAGATGAATTGAAAGAGATCTTTCAATGTCTTTGAAATGAGTCTGATATAGCAGTCACATTTTTTCCTCAATTGAATTCAGCAAATGCATCACTTAAGTTTTAGTTGTAATAACTGCTGGAATATATATATATATATAAATTGCTTCCTGCCCCTTCTGCCTCAAAATTCATTTTTGTACTGTTTATCTTTTACAGTTGTCAACAATCGTTTACATTTATTTAGCTTCTTTCTTTCTTTCTTTCTTTCTTTGTGTTTGACATTTGGAATGTTTGATGTGGTGAATATTCTGACCTTTGAGATTAATTTTCATGATAGAAAATCTGGATAGCCCACTCATTAAGAATTGTAAAATACAGTTATATATTGCTGTAGTGGTTTGAATGTTGGATTGCAACTCTGGGGACCAGGGTTTGATTCTCCACTCAGCCATGAAACCTCCTAGTTGACCTTGGGCAAGTCACATGCTCTCAGCCTCAGGAAGGCAATGACAAACCTCCCCTGAACAAATCTTGCTAATGATAGGTTTGCCTTAGGGTCACCATAAGTTGAAAACTACCTGAAGGCACAGAACAGCAACAGCAATGTCAGAAAACATACACACATACTATACTTACATCATGTTCTTGGTGTGTGACCTTAAGTCTGTTTAGGGAGACTCATGCCTTTTGTTCTCTTGAGAAAGTTTTTCTTCCCTGTGCAGACACCAAAGAAAATAGTGAGGGGAGAGGCTTGGGATGATCTCCCTGTTTATTTGTTGTTTGTAACCAGTTTGGGAGTCTCTGAATAGGGCTAATCAGATGGATCAGTCTGTAGTGTTTGATTTGTAGTAACTGATTGATGCAGAGCACTACTTTATGCTGCCATTATGATGGAGTGAACATTCAAATGTGTGAACCAGCCCTCAATAGCTTGGGTATTTTTAACTATTTCTAGGGCTAGTGTTTGGTCTTTCCATTCAGTAAGTTTTATGGAGGCCGGTTTTAGATAGTCTTAGTGCCCCTAACCAAAGGATCTGCCGCAAGAATGAAGGTCTGATCTCATGCTTGATAGTGTAAAAATTTGCAAAGGACAGGGTCATGTTTTTAGATGGAGCCTAAAGCTACATGGAAATGAACTTGCTAAAAGAGTACATTTTCACAGACAGAAAAAATATGGGAGCCCTGGAGTTCTGGAAATATTAATTACTGCTATAATCTGACTCCCACTTTGTGCTGGAAGCAGGCTCCTACAGAAATTTGCTTTTTTGAAATTTACCATGCTTTGATTCCCCAAAGAGTTGCACAGTGCACTTAACAAGGAAGCTTTAAATACAAAAACACAGTATAATTGGTCAAACAAATCGATTATGATGGAAGCTTTCCTAGGGAGAGAATTCCAAGGCTAGGGCATCACAACTAAAATTCACAAGCAAAATTTTAACAAGAGCAGTGCAAGGCTACTTTGTTTTATGAATTAAAAACTCCATGCCATATAGACTCATGAGAGTCAGCATAGCATAGTGCTTTGAGTGTTGGACTTAGACTCTAGAGACCAAGGTTTTTTTCCCCAGCTCAGCCATGAAACCCATTGGTTGTCCTTGGGTAAGTCACATAGTCTGTGGAATGGGCTTTTAATTATGTGCAGTACAGTTTTACAGCACATCATTAAGTTAATTAATTTTTATGTTTTTGATATTTAATAGTTTATATATTGTTTATTTGTATACACACACACACACATTCTGGATTGTATTTAAAATATGTTGTTAGCCACCTTGAGCCCCATTATTGGAAAAATAAAATCAGTGAATAAAATACATAAATCTACCTTTGGCTTTCCAGGTGTTTTTGCACTACAGCTCCCACAATACCTTGGTATTGATTATACTTGTGAGGCTGATGTGAGCTGTAGGCCATAATGTTTAGAAAGCCAAGGATTTCTCACCTCTGTTGTACAAAGTCAATGTAAGAACTTGTGACAAAGAGAAGCTTATGCTAGTTAAAAAGAAACAGAGCTTTGCAGTCCATGAACACAATCAAAACATATTCAGTGATACCTTTATTGGACCACTAAAATATCATCTAGAGAGCCAGCTTGGTGCAGTGATTTGAGCACTGGGCTACAACTCTTCAAATCCCATCTTAGCCATAAAACCCACTGGGTGACCTTAGGCAAGTCAGAGGGGGGCAATGGGAAATCCCCTCTGAAGAAACTTGCCTAGAAAACCCCATGATAGGGCCGCTGTAAGTTAAAAATGACTTGAAGGCACACAACAACCACCACCAAATATCATATCAAAAATATATATAAATCTTTAACAAATGAGTGAAGAGAGAATTGAGGCAAGCCTGGCTGCAACTCAGAGAATGGTGTGAAGGAGGACTACATGGGATAAAAGAAACAAAACTCAGGCTTGTCTCTGATAGAAGGCAGATATGGGGAAGATAGTCTAGAGATAGGAAAAAGATTGCAGAGAGATGCAAGGAATGGCATAGAGATAGGGAAAAGCTGTCATAGAAATAGTACAGTCAGCCAGGAGAAGAACTGAACAGGGTCTTGGGGAGCTGTGAATAGCTAAATATTTGTGGGGTTCGTGCCTGATCTAATTGTGCATTAATAAACTTCTACATGTTTATTCTTTTTTACGACTGCATCTGGCTATCCCTGTTAAGTTTTGATAGAGTCTGGTCACGCTTACCACGGTGAACCCACTGAACAATACATCCACTTGTCCACAGAGGGAAAAGTGAGTGAGAGAAGTCCAAGGTTTGAGTCCTCCGAAAATCTTCCTCTTGGTGGGAGAGGGGGACATAAAGTAATTTCCCTCCTGCTTTTTCCATACTTTGACCAGTCATCATATACTGAAATCCTAAAAATAGCTTCCTAGCATAAAAATTGCTCTGCAGCTTTATTGTCACTTTGGTGGAATATGGACATTTAAAATGAAATTGCTGCTGCTGGTGGTGGTGGTGGCATTGTTGATGTTGCTATTGCATCTCCTCCTCCTCCTCCTCCTCTTCCTCTGTATAATATGAAACAGTATTTCTTCTTATTCTCTGTACACACTACTTTTTTGTTTCCTCTTTGGGAGTCCTTCTGCTGTGGCTTGTTGCCTAGGGTGTGAGAGAGAAGATGAAGAGAGCCTCATTCCATGAATCCCATTTGCAGCTGGTCTTATTTTAAAAACAAAACAGTAATGCTGGCAATGTTTTGGTGGGTGCTAATCATCTGGTGGCACAACAGAGACATGCCTTTCAGGAGCTTGAAACTTGAATCTTCTCCAAAGCTTGAACTTTTCCAGTTGGCAGAACAGTTTGCTACTGCAGTGTCTATAAACATTTTTGTTGTACATGTTTATTTGTCACCATTGCTCCCATTATCTTCCTTTCAGCTTGGCATCTTGCATTTCCGACGGGAAACATCTTGTTTCGAGGGACAACAACTAAAAGAAATATTAAGGTTTGGATACAGATTTAGCCATGCTCAGACTAAACCTGTTAAAATGAATGGGACAAACTAGTGTTAACTAAAGCCCCGTTGATTTCACTGGGTTTACCCCAAACATGGTTACATCGGGAACTCATGCCAGTAACTGTAGGGGTAGGGTTGTTCCATTAGTGGAAGGGATGATGATGAGGATAATGGTGATGATAATTTTATATCCTTCCCCCCTCCCAATACTGGTGCCATGCAAATTATTAAAACCAGTATAGATTAAAAGCATATGAAAAAATCAGTAAATATATAAACCCTTCAACACTTCACAGATGAAAACTGAAACAAGTATGGCCAAGTGATATCAGAGTGTGATGAAATGACAAATGTTATTAATGAGGAGAGACTGCAGCAGTTTGCTTTTCCTTGAGCCTGTTGGGAAACCCCTCCTCTTTTTTCTTCCTGTTGACTGTAAATTACTTTTACATTTTCAATGTAGGAGTTGTATAGACTGGCCAAAAGGGACAGCCTGGGGGTGGAGTGGGGGCATGGCAACTGCATGCCGGCCACCCTGACTCCATCCTGATGCCGCTGTCATGCTGTTCACCCAACCAGACGGCTGGTGACATCAGGGCGCTTTCATGGCACAGTGTTCACACATGCTGCATCAAAGGAGTGCTGAAAAGCAGCCGCGGTGGCAGCAAGGGCAGGGTTTTTTGCCGCTCTAAAAAGGAGAAGCATTTGCCAGGTCTTTTTAGAGTGGCAAATCACCTGGTCGGGGCTGCAGCGTATGGTTGCCGCAGCCCCAATCCAGCAAGGAAAGGGGTGGTGGGACACTGCCCCTTAGGGGCCATCTGTTCAGCCCCTTTGTCTGCAGTAATTAAAATAAGCTGGGGAGAAGGGGGGAAGTTGGGGAAGGAGAGACAAACTGGGACATTTTGTAAGCAGCCTGATCAGACATTTTTAGGCACAGACAGAAATGACTTTCAATTAGCAGAACCAAGAGAAAGACAGTTGCTCTCCCTGCAGCCTCCTAGACCCTCAAAAGATATGCTTGGAGACCTAAGAAACACTCCAGAACAAATTTCTGGATGATACAAATGGTTACAGTGGGGAATGGAAGAGAAGGAAATCCCATCAAGTAGTAGACCTCCATTAGCAAGAAATTAGATCTACTTCTGTAAACCTTTTAAACCAGCAAACTAGTCATTTTGGAACCATCAGAATTTTTAATTAGTATTTAAAAATTTGGTGCACCAAATCAGTCTAGCAACAGTTTCTGATGGGTTGGTTCTACTTCTTGACACCTTCTATATAGGTGATCTCTTACAAGAGACATGAATCTCATGTCACGAACTGACTGAGATTTTCCAGGCAATAACCTTAGGAAGTATGATAAATGTCTAATTTACTCTGAGGCAGTAGTGCTTCCTAGGAGGTAGGAGAGCCAGCATAGCATAATGGTTTGAGTGTTGGGCTACAATTCTGGAGACCAGGGTTCAAATCCCTGCATGGCCATGGAAACGCAGGGCCTAAGCAGACTGTCAGAAATAGTGCACATTAAATTGAGGCACTGCCCTGGCTCAGTGCTAGGGAATCATGGGAACTGTAATTTATTGTGGCACCAGAGCTCTCTGACAGAGAAGGCTCAATGTCTCAGAAAAAAATACAATTCCCATGACTCCCTAGCACTGAGCCAGGGCAGTGCCTCAATTTAATGTGCACTATTTCTGACAATCTGCTTAGGCCTCCAGTGGATGACTTTGAGCAAGTCACAGTCTCTTAGCCTCAGAGGAAGACAAAGGCAAACCACCTCTGAACAATTTTTGCCAAGAAAATCCATGATAGGTTCACCTTAGGGTCACCATAAATCAGAAATGACTTGAAGGCACACAACAGTAACAAACGAAATGCTACTCAGAGTAGTGGCCAGTGGACCAGTGCCATTTCTTCAGCCATTGGCTGCTGGTCCTGGGCAAATTTCTAGGAAAGAAGAAAAAACAACTGTAGCCAATGAGCACAAATGTAGCATAAATATGGTGCTGATCCCTGGTACAATGGTGCTGGTCCACCACACCCAAAAGCCTGAGAAGCACTGCTCTAAGGGATCATAAAGACCTCTTTTCAAGGAAGTGGAGATCATCTCTCTTTCAGATAATGAGATTACTGTATTCTCTCAGCCTTTAAACTATATTGTCTCACTGGAAAATGTGATTTCTTTAAGAGCCATGTTCACACATCAGTTGTGATTTATCAGTGCTTGGATGTGTGTTGCATAAGTCTCATTGGCAGCTGTTGAGTGGTTTGTGTAACATAGCTAGTGCTAAACACATTCACTGCCGTGCTAAAAAATTTTTTATCTCTTTCTCCAGTGCTGAAGTACACATATGCTGTGATTTTAAGTTAAGCATGTTTTCCGGTATACTCTTTAAATGTTTTAAGCCAAATGTGGAGAACTTGTTCTCCTCCTCCCTTCTTACTTATCTACAACTTCCCTTTGTCCAGTGACATGTGAACAACCCCATGTTCTTCATCCCCAATTAAACATGTATTCAAGTTGATACAAGTGCATCACATACATATATTTAGGCAGGATTATTCCCTTCAGTATATGCTGATTAACAAACTCAGGTTACCTTTTCATATTTTGTGAAATTGCTCCCAGTTATGGTATTCCCATCCATTAGTTTAGCACTAGATATTTCACTTCTAGTTGTGTTAGATTTTACTGGCACAAGTGTAGTGCTACAGGTATAACAAGCCATAGCTCTAAATTGTAAAGTGTCATATATTTTGCTCACCATCAAATTGCACCATCAGCTGCACTCTTATATATCACATTCAGTATTACAGCATTTCTAAGATGTTTGGTGTAATGGTTTGACCACTGGATTATGACTCTGGAGGCCAGGGTTTGAATCCCCACTTGGTCATGGAAACCCACTAGATGACCTTGGGCAAGTCACACTCTTTTAGCCTCAAAGGAATCATACACAGCACAATCTAATCATATAAAGGCAAACCGTACAAAGGCAACCCAAATCTTGCCAGGAAAGCCCTGTGATAAGATCGCCTTAGGGTCCCCATAAGTCAGAAACAACTTAAGGGCACATCCCACAACCACAACAGTTTTTGTGTTTATTTATTTTGAGGCTGTAGATGGGAGCTTTGTAGAGAAAATCACACTAAACCTTAATGCTTTTGTCATGGAAATAGCAGCATAATGTAGAGTTAGCAGCACAATCTAATCGTACACAGCTTCCTTAATTCCTGCATGGGACATAACCATAGTTGATGAGTTTCTCATTCAAGTAACCCTCGACCTCATAAAATTGGACTCGTACCTCAAGCCCACCCTTTCTAATGCCAGATTTTTTTCTCATTTTCAGTCCATGCAGTTAACTTGTATCTAGTTTTAAAGCAGTGTTTTAAAGAATCAATTTCATGGTGCATGCACCTAGTCAAACAAGCCATTTAAACATCTTAACTCGTGTGTAGCAGACCATTTTACAAGTACCTGATAGTTTTACAAGCCTGTGTTTCAGACAGGGTAATTGGTTGTCTCTGATATGTGAGTTGGGACTTAGACTCATTAACTTTTTTCAGTGAAGAGTACATTTCACAGCTAAGTTTGTTCAATACCAGGTTGTATTTGCAATGCCAGTTATATTTGTAGTATGTGATATATTGCAAAAATAGGGTGTAAGGGAATAATTTTTTACTTTGATGCACAAGTCAATTAATGATGTGTTGTTGCCTTTCACCTTCTATTAGACTTGATTTATCTCATAATATATCTAGTTATAATCAGTTCACTATTTAACCAAAGCTGTCATAATTTCTTAATCTACATGTATATGTACATCTATACAACTAACATGTTGGTTGTATTTGGACATAACAGTAAGGCAGAAGCGTTGTGAATATTAGCTTATAACTATGTTGGTGTACATTGCCTATTGGTATATATTGTCGTCACTCCTTGAATCCTTCTCTTATTAAAAACAGCTAAATTAACCAGGTGCTCTTGAGGAAGCAAAAGCTTCTTACTATTTTCAAACCTGGACCCTTGATTGTTGCCACCCTCCAAAAGCCAGGAAGAGCAAAATTGGTTTCCAAACTGTGGTTTCTTTGGGGAGCAATAAACTAAGAATCCATATTCAGACATAAAAGGGAACTTTTGCTCTGCCATTAGTTTCTGTCAGATTTGCTGTCCCCACTGATGAGAAAGGCCCAAGGAGAAGGGACAGTCAGCAAACATGCAAACAACTGGAAGAAAAGCCGAAAACCTGAGCAATTTTGTCGTATTGTCATGTCCATGGTGGCGCAGTGGTTAGATGCCTGTACTGCAGCCACTCACTCATAGACCACAAGGTTGCGAGTTCAATACCAGCCAGGGCTGAGGCTCGACTCAGGCCTGCATCCTTCCGAGGTCGCTAAAATGAGTACCCAGATTGTTGGGGGGCAATCAGCTCACAGTTGTAAACCGCTTAGACATCCCATGCGCGATATGAAGCGGTATATAAATGAAGCTGCTTTGCTTTGCTTTGCATGTGTGGTGATAGAGAGGTATATCTGTGAACACCTAAAAATATGTATACAGTTTTGTTCTAAGCAGAGAGCTTCCAATATCTATACACCACTTTTTCCCAAACTTGCATCCCCAGACTTTTTTTATACTTTCACTCCCAGAAGCTCTAGGAAGCAAGCCTTGCCAATTATCAAGGATTGGGTAAGTGTAGTCTAGCATCTGGAGATCCAAGCTGAAGAATCACTGATCTATGCTGTATATGTTTATACTTGGACCTCCAAGCATATGGTTTGCATTCTTCAAGTAGTAATTGAGTCATTCTGTACTTGCATAATACACTTGTCCGTACTTAAGGTTCTAAATGAGGGCAATAGAATTAAAAATACAACCCTGTTAGATCCAATATTTTAAGAGCAAATGTCCATTATAAGCATGATCTTATGTGAGGGTATTACATCAGAACAGTATAAACTCCTAGTAAAAATCATGTTAGACATCCCCTTTTCCATATTTTATTTGCAATGTAATTTGTCAGTGTCCTATTCAGTTACAAGTATTGTCATTATGAGATTTGACCAAATGGGGAACGGAGCAGGACAATTTTAATTGTATCGATAGAGTCTCTCTGGCTATGGTGATTGCATACACATGGTAAATAAAATAGGAGCTGCTTCATACATATTTAAATCACCTTCCATTGGACAAACAATCTGGCATGGTGACAGCAATATCCACTCTTCAAGAGTTAAATGAATTCCTAATATTTGGCAAGTTTTGATCATGTTGTTTCTAAGGGTATATTTGCTGTACCTAATAATTTCCTTTTCTATGTCATTGCAAAATTGGACTGAATTTTCACTCAGTACTTTTCCTCATCTAGTCATTTTCCACCCCATCCACTGTCATCTTTTGCTACAGTTTTTTTAATCCATTATTTTGACCAATTGAGATGTTGCATGATATGTTGGAACTTCAGAGAAGAAATGATCAAGGCATAAGAAGTTTCATAAAATGTCACCAACCCCAGCTTAGAAATAATTGAATTTTTATAAGACAATGAAAGAAACCCAGTCAAACTATTGCATCTATTCCATGCCCCTTTTGTTGTGAGTCCATCTTCATTTTTTTTTCATTTTAACATTTAGTTTAATAGATTTTGTACTATATTGCATGTACTCATGTATAAGTCTAGAAATTTTAGTGAAAAAATTGACCCCAAAAAGCTTAGTCAACTTATCAATGGGTTGATGTAAGTACTATAGTTTAACTCTTGTTGTTGTTGTTTTTTTAAAAAAGGAACTATCACCTAGTGAAAGACAAGAGTCCTGGAAGCACTGACCTCTTTCTGTTTTCTCATCCATCCAGTCTTTAGTATGAGCACAAACAGTTTTGCCTGCTAGAATTTTGTAGGTTCTTTGACATTGTTTTACTTTGCTTCATCCTTTAGATACTTTGTTACATGCCCCTAGTTTTACCCTCAGCTTATCGATGGGTCATATCAAAATCCATAATTTTGGCCTCAAAACCTGCCCTCAGTTTGTACATGAGGTCGACTTATAGTCGAGTATATACGGTATATTAGATGCTTATCATCAGAGCACTTGAATGGACCAAAGTAATTTCAGATCGGGAATACTTTTTTCTAAGGTAGATTATTACTTAAGAAGAAAGCATGATGTTGGCTGGTTTAAGCAGTTGGAAAAATGTAGGTTGGATCCAGATTACCACTGGGTTGAATTGCACCTATTTGGATCCTCTGGTTGGAAAAAAACAGCAGGCAATTTGCCTTTCAATTATTCCCTCCATGTGCTAAAAAAAACAACTCCAAATTGCTGGGGGAATCCTCCAGAATAGCATGGCAGGTGACAACGAGGCTACAAGGGAAAGGAGGAATCATCAATGTCACCTCTTCCAGCAAGAACCTTGTCTTGATCTCAGCCGCTTTCCCAAGCCTTTTCCTTTGTGGAAGAGCAAGATTTCTCCTGTG